AAGAGCTTATGCGTAATACCTTTGTCTCTTTGTTACTGTGCTGATGTAGTTAGAATTTGATGATGGTGGTTAATTTTAGCACCTACCTCTACATTACGAGAATTGCTTGTGTAATTTTGTGTTCATGCCTCGCATATTCATATGGTAGCACCATATATGTTGTTTCTCTAGATTTCTGCACTGGGCAAGCATGTGTGATGTGTGCTTGTACATTGTACAAACCCAATGAAGAAACACAAGTTTGAGATAGCCTTCTGTTAATAAGTTTGCCAAAGAGATATGTGCTTTTTTCGTTTCTTGACACCTCTATTTTGCAGGATGTCTATTGTTTGAATGCTGATGGATCTTTGTTTGATGCTGCACTGATCTCAGTGGTGGCTGCATTTACACATTGTATGTTTAATTTACTTTCACTCTCTTAATTGATTTGATAACCTTCCACTATTTGTTTGACCTATAACTGGAAACATTAGCACTGGTATTCTGCTGGTGGTTACTTAATGATGTATGAACTGTAATGATTCAATCTTCTGTTTCCATATTTTTTATATTGCAACCGCCTCTTGTAGTTAACTGAGGAAGTTTGTATACATGTTACAGATTTTAATCAGACCTGATCTATTATTGGTTGTTTTTACTTCATATGGTTTAGTTTATGAGTTGCAAAGTTTATATAACCTTTTGAAATTTCGAACAACGAGAACCATATATAATACAGTGCGTTAAATCATATTGTGTGTCCCGAGTTTCGTTCTAATGCGAGTAAGTTACAATGTCATGACTCATGATTGACTTAGGTTTTTCAACCAAACTGGCACTGAAAGTCTAAATAACCTCCTCATACGGAATAGTGTGGTGGTTTTATTTTATGTTTGGAATAAGTATCTTTTTGCTCCTTGGTTCGGTATATTTTTATGTGAATTTTTTGATTAAATGTGAATAATCTCTTAATTTGACTTTCTCGATCTTGATAGTTCAGTTTTGAATTGAGGATCTGGGTATATTATGACAATTGGTTTCTACTGCATTAAGCTTATGCCAGGTTTTTAATATGAGAATACATTTCATTTCTTGAGAGCACCGGCCTAAAGTTGTGTACACAATTCTATGATACAAATGAGCCTGTCAGAGGAAACAATGCTGTATTACTTAGTTACTTTCCTTCAAAGGACTTGTTAACTGACGATATTTGATTTTTATTCTCACTACACGAATATCTTGCTTGATTTTTGTTACTTATCATTATTAATACCATGTTGCATTCACAGTGGAAATTCCCCTAGTATCTGTTGGTGATGATGGTAGAGTCTTTACTGTTGGAGGCAATGAAGGCAAAACCAAATATGAATTGGTAAACAGAGAAAAGAGGAAGCTTACTCTTGGTGACATTCCATTTCCTCTCACATGTGCACTTCACAAGGATAGTATTCTAGCGGACCCAACTGCTGAAGAAGAATCAATAATAGAAACCTCTGTCACAGTTGTTCTAGATTCTTCCGGCCGCTTAGTGTCAATACAAAAACCTGGAGGTGGAGTGACGTCCATGGCAACAATTAAGGTTTGATTTCCAATCCCTTTCCCCATATATATAACAATGGCAACAATATGGTTTATTTCCTGACGTATTAGTAATTTAGTATCCATTCAAGTATGACAACAACTTTAGCTAATTGGTGTTGGTTTTATTTTATCACACTAACTTAATGGATGGAATGAGGTTCAGCTAATGACCTTTTATTTGTGCAGGCGTGCATTGGCTTGGCAAAAGAAAGAGGACAAAAGTTGAAGGAAATACTCACGGACTCCGTTGAAGCAATGGAAGTTGACCAAGCTGAATAAGTCCGTGCAAATAGTTCTAATTCAGTGGTTGTACTGCCACTGGTAGTGACATAGAAGTTTTGTTGCTTTTAACTGTGGGTATTATTTTTCTAGGATGAACGCGAAGATATAACAATCTGTGCCCTGCATATGACCTGACGTTTGTAGGGCCATAAGTTTTATTTGAGAATGTTCTTGATTATTTTCAGTAGCTCTTTTACAGAGTTTAAACTTTATGTCCAGGTGCGCCCATTGTTCAGTGGTGGTTATCTTTGGTTTTGTGTTTTTCATTTTGGTTTACTGGTAGTCTAATTTTGTTTTCTCAAGGATTGTCGTTCATTTCAGTGAGAACATGGGGAAAATGTTTAGATTCAGATTGTACTGTAGCTTTTGGTTGTAGAACTCCGGAGGCTTCAGAAATATTTCTTTTTGCTCTGTCATGTGAATTGCTACGTGAATATAATTATTCCCTCGATCATTACCCTTTGTTTTTTTTTGAGACAACATCCTTCGTGGTATTGTACCCTGTTTTGTTGGTCCTATATGCTGGGCTCTGAAACAGGCCCCTATATAACTGAGCAATTTTTTTTTCTTTTCAAAACGGAGGCATAAGATTTGCCTCATCTATTAAATAAGGGAGAAGCAGAGTTTAGAGTTTTATAACAGCACCCACATACACGGCATGCCGATTACTCGCGCAAGAAAATAGGCCCTAGTCTTTTAGCACCCGCGGTAATCCAAAGCTTTGCCTCCTCCATGATGTTGTTGAGAAGTATCGGCGTCGGTGCAAACTTGTGCCGAAACACTCGTGCATTTCGCTAATTCCAAATGGTCCCAGAAACAAGCATGGCGAGGGAGGCCGAAGCGCTCCGGCTAGGAACATGGTTGCCGGTTCGCTTGTCCCACCATTCGTGGACGGACCCGGCAAGGTGCCAATCGATGGTGTCCATGTGAGCAAGGCCAAGCTTGACGATAATTGACCTCCAAAGCCTAAGTGTGTAGCGACACTTGAAGAAGAGATGTGCATCCGTTTCTTGTTCTCTTTGGCAAAGAGGGCAAAGGCCACAATTTGCCCAACCCCGCCTCTTGAGGCGATCAGCTATCCAAATCCTATCTTGGAGGGCCAACCATGCAAAAAATTTGACCTTCGGGGGAGCCCAAGCTTGCCAAACCATGCGGTCCATGGGGGAGAGAGTTAATCCAAGGAACCGAGCCATATATGCGGTGGCCGCTGTGTAGATCCCGTCGTTCGAGTGCTTCCAAACGTTATCATCGTGGAGTTGCTTATCAAGGTGGACGTCACTCAGAAGCATCCATAGGGTGAAAAACTCCCGGACGTGATCACCGGAGACGATGGTGTTGAAGTTGATTTTGAGAATCCATGCATTGCCTTTGAGAGCCTCTCTCACCTTCCAATTCTTTCTCCTGGAAGCCTAAAATAAATTAGAGGTGCAATGTCCTTGGGCTTGCGCCCGAGAAGCCAAGGGGAATCCCAAAATGGCGTTTTGGTGCCGTCCCTCACGGTGATGGTGATCGAAGCATAAAAGAAGTTTAGATCATCCTCCGCGCAAGGGTTGCCAAATCGAACCCATAATATGTGGGGTTCCTTCCACTTATACCATAGCCACCTTAGCCGGAGAGCACGTGCAAACTTGTCAGTATTAAGCACCCCAAGGCCACCATACTCCTTCGGCCTACAGACTGTATCCCAATTGACCTTGCATTTGGCGCCTGTCGTCTTGTCCGTGCCCGACCAGTGAAAAGCTCTTTGAATCTTGGTTAGGTTATGGAGAGTGCTAGGTGGTACGATGAGAGGCATAATGGAGAACACCGCTTGGGAGCATAAGACCGACTTGACCAGCGCCGTGCGACCGATGGTTGTGATGTTTTGGCCCTCCCAAGTAACCAATTTGCCAGCCGCCTTGTCTTCAAGATATTGGAAATCTACCTTCTTGAGTTGCCACACTGAGAGTGGAAGGCCTAAGTACTTCACCGGGAAGGTTGCTCGAGTAGCCGGCATACTCCCAAGTATGTGCCCAAGGTTGAGGTTGTTGCATCGAATTGGCACCACCGAGCTTTTGTGGAAGTTGGTACAGAGACCCGTAACCTCACCAAAGCCTCTCAAGATCGAGGCGAGGTTATCAATGTCCTGTTTGATAGGAGCCACAAAGACCGCGGCATCATCCGCATAGAGAGAGGTCCTTACCGTGGCCCCCCGCCCACGAATCTTATGAAGAAGGCCTTTCCGGGTTGCCAGGTCAAGAATTTTATGCAGCGGATCGATCGCAATGACAAAGAGGAGGGGGGAAATGGGGTCCCCCTGACGAAACCCGTTGCCGTGCTTGATCGGCGGGCCGGGCAGCCCATTGAGAATGATGCGAGATGAAGATGTCATTAAAAGGGCAGCAATCCAAGCACGAAACTTGGTGGGGAAACCCATGTGTTGGAGGAGGTTCAGGATGTAACTCCACTTAACCGAATCAAACGCCTTCTTGATATCAAGCTTGAAAAGGAGTGCTGAAGTTTTGCACTTGTGTAGCCTCCGTGCGAAATTCCGAACGTACATAAAGTTGTCATGGATGCTGCGTCACTTAAAAGTTGTCATGGATGCTGCGTCACTTAATGAATGCACTTTGGGCGTTGGAGACTAGGCCATCCATGTGGGGGGCTAGCCGGAGCGAGAGGACCTTGGCGATGATTTTAGCGATGGCGTGGATGAGGCTAATAGGCCTGTAGTCGGAGATGCCTTCCGCACCTTCCTTTTTGGGCAAGAGGACAACATTGACTATTCAGCTTGGAGACGCTAAAATGAGCAAGACACATTTGGCTGTGCCTTTTATGTGCAGCTTCTGTACTGGTACCAAAAGTGAACTACACACAAGCATGATACATGTTAGTGCCGACTACATTGATCAAACACATAATCCGAGAAATATTGATGTAGCAACACTTGATATTTGACCAACGTTCATTCTTGGAATGTCATGCACCTTGCCATCAGTAAACTACCAAGAACATGCAAATGCCCATTAGATCTAATTTATGACATAAGTGTCACGAGAAAGCCTTAGATCACAAGCGAAGGCAATTTAATGAAATACAATCATCCACAAGACCTGTCTACTAGGTTCTATAAGTACACCAGAAATTCCACTGGATCGGCAGGGGAGTCACCAAATCCATCAAGCAGCCTTCTTTTTCTTCGACTTCAGCATCACAAGACCGATGAATATACTTAGGAACGAAAGTAGCACCACACCGGCAAACACAGGGATGAAGATGGCGTATTCTTGAGGCAGAAAGTATTGGTGGACAAAATGGTCATCGTCAACAAATGGCTAGGCGGGAAAAGAGAAACAAAATCACCATCGATGCATTAACACAGAAACATATAGAAATGAAGCATGTAATGCCCAGAAGTTACTAACCAAGATTATGACCCAGAAAGTGTAGTAGGTAAAGATGGATAAACTCGTCATGGTCAACACAAGGCCGACTGCCTTGTCTCCCATTTCCATTTCTCCAGAATTTATAGGAACCTACTCTTGATTTGAGATACAAAATTGGGTTTCCTGCACACAGATAAATGCAAACACAGTGAGTATCCAAATAACTTCACATGGTAAGGTTCATAAAATGGAGTGCCAAGATAGTGAAACTACATCAAAATAAATAAATACTTCATAATAATACCAAAAGTCCTGATGTACTCTGAGGTGCAACATGGTATGTAATAAACCTGAGCAACCACTCCACCGCTAAAGCAATAAATTACAGTAGATGCAAAATCATCAACCAGATATCTAGTGTAAGCATCAACTCGGTTGTGCCACGGCGAAATATTTCTTCATTATCATATTTTGCTGAACTTTTGACGACTAATGGACGGAATACTAGGTAAATCTCATATTACAAATACAACAACTGGAGAACTCAGCCTGAATTCAGTAAGCAACCAACCAGCAAGCATTGCATTTCAATGTTGCAGCAAGTAAAACTTGCTCACTGAATTCCTAAGCACCAACCAAATAGAGTTCAGGGTGTCACATGTCATTTGGGACAACCGAAACAGAGCTATTATTTTCAGGGTGGTGAAGAAGCAACAAAGTCATGAAGTCAACAAGTACGCAGATAAATCATCTCCACCGACCACTGCTAGTCCTGCAAACTTCTTACATGAAGAACACAAAAACCTTGTACAATGAAACTTTTTTGATGCTTACATATATTCAGTATACCAAAAAATAGCTGCTAACAGAACACCTTTTTTTTTTAAACGGATTAACAGAACACCTTTCATCAGCTAGATTATGCTTTGTTATGGGCAGTGGTGCTACTACAACAACTAAGATTTTGCTGTCCCTTGTTTAAGAATATAAGAATTTTCTAACGACATGGAGTCACATTACACATGACGCATCTAGGAGATACTGCAAAAGGTAATTCATCCTTTGTTGAATTTCAATAATATGCGAGATTTCACTGTTGATGGTAACACACAAGGTGTCTGCAGTTCTTCCGCTTCATTACAAGAGGTAGATCCGTAGATCCACTAGTATGGTTCTTGATTTTGATTAGCAAAAATTATATGGAGTTACTACAGTTCAAATAACGTCCTGTCACCAATTTGTATTTTGGTATAATCGTTTTTTAAGTAGTAACTACACAAGCACCACTGAGCAAGAACACAGTATACAGAGATCCCCAACAAATTCAAAAGCAGGCAGGTCAAATCAACCTATGGTTCCACAATGAAGCAGTGAACTCAAAAGTGATATTTATTATTACGTAGTGAACTTAATTCTCTCTTCCATAAATGTCAAGCCTTGAGGAGAAAATTATAGCTATTTAATGGGTAAAAGGGAATAATCCCTTCCATCATTTCCTATTTAGGCCTTCTGTTTCTACCTTCGTGTCTTTTAAAATAAGATTAAAGCATAGACTGCCAGAGGCAACAGGTGACCAAATTGGCAACATAGGTGATCAGAAATGAAATAGATGCATGTTTCTTTCAATATAATATACATTGTATTCTACGGCTGTATGTGTAGATACTAGATAAAATGATAGATAGATAGTTTTGTCTGGATGCTTGTATAATAACCGAACAAGAGCGTCAGCATGAAATAGAGGATATAAAAAAAACGCCATTCTAGTTACTTGTTTATCTGATTTGTTCTAATAACCCAAGCATAACCGCAAGCACCTAGTGGTCCTGCTACAGATCACACACTGAAACAAGTGCTCTCTCAGTGAATGGGGTCAAGGAGGACATGCAAATAATTTTTCTAAATTACGCATCACATATTATAGCAGTAGAGTTAATCAGATCTAAGAATGCTTCAGTCATGTATGCGCTACACACTTGGTTCATGGTCCTCATACAAAAAGCTACCAATGACTGGAAAAAATACAGAGGGCCTAACATGGGGAATGGAGAATGGATTCATTCTCTACCATCCAGTAAACAAATTCGCGTCAAACTGAACACTTTGGAACATGTTACAAATTTGATATGGGCACAATAATCAAGCTTGTGGTATGTCATGTGCAAGTATGCATTATATCCCAGTCATGCATCCTGAGCAACATCTTACATACAAGATGGCATTACTTTTTTTCATGCATTCAAATACTACGGAGGAAGGAGACATTTCAATCTTTCTGTGTCTCTTGACTTTTAAGTCTGAACACACCTCAGTATATGCACCAAGTTCAAGACAAGAGAAACAGTATGTGGTAAATAAAGTAGAACAGAAATTAATTGCCGACAAACTAAATTCTACTCTTTCTTTGATAGGAGAGAGTTCACTAGCCGAGTTGCTAGTTTCTGCATTTTGTAAAAGCAAATACGATTGGAACTGATTTTTTCAATCAGCGAAGTTGGATGAACAGCCTTATGTCCGTTGTCACAGAAATTAACTACTCCCAAGCAGATCAGGTACTCAGAGCCTTGCTCCCAATTGCCCCCCGATCAGAGAAGAGCCTCGTTCTCTGGCCCAAGCCACCGCAGCCGCGAGCGCACGCAGCCGGCTCATGCTCTGCCTCGTTCTCAGGCCCAAGCCACGCACATCACAACGCCGCCCGGCCGCGCGCATCTGGACACCGCCCCGAGGCCCGAGCCTCACCTAGCCCGCGCGAATCGCCCTTACGCCACCCCCGCGGCGCCGTTCCAGCAGAGGCGAAAGAAATAGGGAGAGAGGGGGCAAGGGACAGAGGGGACACGCACCTACGCCCTGCCGCAGCCGTCGCCCTTCAACCGCCGTCGCCGGAGCCCACGATCTGCCGACGCCGCACGGGACAGAGAAGAACGAGGGATGGAGAGAAACCAAACAGGCAAACTTTCCCTGGAGTCCGATCACGAACGTCCGTAGATAATCCGACGGAGCCGGATCCTGCATTTTCTTTGCCGTCTATATATTCTTTATAAATCTGTTTGGCCTACTTGTCAACCATACAAGTCCTCCTTCTATCAACCCGGTGTAAAATATCCCCTGGAAAAACCAGTGTAAAATAAAAATAAAAATTCCAGCCAACTTCATCTTTCGGATGCGCTTGTTTGCCCTCAGTTAGTTGGCTCTTGGTACGGCGATTTTGACATCTTCCATTTTGTTCCGCGGCATTATTCCGTTTCTCCAACTCTCTGAACCAATGGTAATGGATTGCAGCCTGTATTGCGTTGGATGATGCTCCAGCCAATGCCTTTTCAGCATTTTATAAATCTCGTCTCAAGTGATGACTGACAATTACAGTGTTTAAAGCCCAAAATCAAATACAATATCTCTGAAACATCAGAGGCTAGGTCTTCAGGGGCTAGGTCTTCTTCTTCCTCGCACCAGTCAGATGAGGAGCATGTTCGCCGCACGCCACATCCCCTGGAACATGTTGGGAAACATAGTATAAAAGAAAGAAAAAACATCCGCCAAAGGACCACTATGAAGATGCAAATAGCTTGATCTAATATTTACCAATGAATGCAGCGAAGATTAGAGGTTGGTGACGAAGTTGAGGGCAGTCCCTGTAGCTAGGATTAAACCTCCCAACCGCGAGAATTTTTCTCCTCCTGATCTAGGATCAAAGATATGATTCTTCTGTCCGTATCCACGCGTATGAGAGCACGGATCCTGTCGGGCTTCAACATCCAGAAGGAAAGCCTATGGTGGAGCAGCCTTACGACAGAAGGAGTTTCCCGAGAGAGAGAGAGAGAGAGAGAGAGAGAGAGAGAGAGAGAGAGAGGGGGGGAGAGAAATATTTGGCATTGATTTGGGTCCCCTTTTAAATTCAAATCAGTGGCAACTAATAGAAAACATAAAAGGAAAGGTTTTTACCCGGCGGCCCAACACTGTCTTAGGCCTAGCCTACAAGGGGGCTAGATTATCTTCTTCCTCGCACCAGTCGAACAAGGAGCGTGCTCGTCGTGCGCCACCGCCCTTGGAACCTGTTGATGCTGATTCCCGCAGCTAGGATTAAACCTCCCAACCGCTTGAATTTTTCTCCTCTTGATCTAGAACTAAAGAGATGATCCTTGATACGTCTTCAACGTATTTATAATTTTTGATTGTTCCATACTATTATATTATCTGTTTTGGATATTTTATATGCATTAATATGTTATTTTATATTATTTTTGGGACTAATCTATTAACCTAGAGCCCAGTGTCAGTTCCTATTTTTTTTCCCTGTTTTTGAGTTTCGCAGAAAATGAATACTAAATAGAGTCCAAATGGAATAAAACATTCATGATGATTTTTCCTGAACCAGAAGACAACCAGGAGACTTGGAGATGAAGTCGGAGGAGCCATGAGGCGGCCACAAGGATGGAGGGCGCGCACCCACCCTTGTGGGGCCCGCGTGCACCTCCTGACCTAATTCTTTTGCCTATATATATATTCCCAAGCATCCATGAAAATACTTTTCCACCGCGGCAACCTTCTGTACCCGTGAGATCCCATCTAGGGACCTTTTCTGGCACCCTGCCAAAGGGGGATTCGATCATGGAGGGATTTTACATCAACTCTATTGCCCTTCCGATGAAGCGTGAGTCGTTTCCCTCAGACCTACGGGTCTAGCCTTTTCCCAATTTTAAGTCTTGGCAGATTTTAGCAATTTAACACAAGTCAGGCAATCAACCTACACATGCAATTCTACGAGTATAGCAGCGGAATGTAAGTAATTGCATATGAAGGTAAAGGGGAGGAGTTTGGAGGGAGCAAACGCAATGTAGACACGGAGATTTTTGGCATGGTTCTGATAGGTGGTGCTATCGTACATCCATGTTGATGGAGACTTCAACCCACGAAGGGTAACAGTTGCGCGAGTCCACGGAGGGCTCCACCCACGAAGGGTCCACGAAGAAGCAACCTTGTCTATCCCACCATGACCATCGCCCACGAAGGACTTGCCTCACTTGGGTAGATCTTCACGAAGTGGGCGATCTCCTTGCCCTTACAAACTCCTTGGTTCAACTCCACAATCTTGATGGAGGCTCCCAAGTGACACCTGACCAATCTAGGTGACA